GGCTGTGGGAGGGTTCCATCGACGCATGGTGTTGGGGGGCAAACCTGTTGAGGGTGGGGCGGCAAGGTCTGGCCCCACCTGGAAAGATGCAGTAGCCGCGCTGGCAAGATGAACGGAACGGAGGGGTGCGCACACGCGCTGCGCCAGTGGGCATCCTCCATGCGGAGACTTTCCCAACAGAGGCCTGACTGCGATCAAACTCAGCGCTTCCCTCTCGCCTGCGTCATGCGCCATCCCATTTGCAATCACACCCCACCCACCTCAAACCAACACGCACATTGGTGCAACCCCGCCCTTCTTCACCCCCAGCTGCGTATGGGGCAGGTCATGGGGGAGTGGGGCGCGCTGCTGCTGCGCACCTTCCAGGCCCCCGGTGGTGCCCCCAGCCGCTCCCCCTGGTCGGCCGTCTTCCGCGACGCCCTGCTGCGGCGCCTGGTGCTGCGCTTCATCCTGTGCCGCGCGGCGCTGGGGCTGCACAGCACGGTGGGGGCCAACCCCGCGCACCTGCCGCGCTGCTTCCCAGACCTGCCCAAGGAGCTCGCCCCCGACGCCCCCGACGTTGCGGCCGGGGTGGCCAAGCTCGCGGCGTGCCTGGGCCGCGGCAGCGTGTTTGGCCGGACGGCGCTCAGCACCGGCAGCAGCAGCTCCCCCATGTCTGCCAGCACACAGCAGTAGCACGGCCCTCAGGGGCGTTCGCGCAGAACGTAGCGGACGCGGCAGCGCACCGGCTGCGCGCATGTCCTATGGGTCGCCTCCAAGCCTGCCACTGGACTCGCGCAGTGTGATGGATCTACACGGGGCCCTGGCCTGCACTGCCGTTTCCTCGGGCGGCATGCATGGCCCTGCGGCTTCTTTCCGCGCCCAACTACCGTAGTGCCTCGCCCTGCCCTGTGGCGGCGGCTCCGCAGCCGGTTTGAAACTAGCGGCAGGTGCTGTTGTCGCGGGGCTTGCCACCGGTTTTTGCAGCCTGGCACGTCGTGGTCGTGCTTTTCCTTTGCTTTCCACGGCCGAGGGTGCCCAGCCTGTGGCTGCTGATCCGGGCAAGTGCTTTGCGGCTGCGCCGGCTGTTGCTTGCAAGTACCACGCTCGCTTCCTCCATGTGGCTCGGCGCGCAGAGCATGTTGTAGAGCTCTCTCCCCTGCTCAAGCGTGATGCTGCTATGCTCATTTTCTCCACTCTTCCGCATCCCCTTTGCCCCAGTACGGGTCCCTCACCCGCGCATGGAGTGCTCTCGCTCGCGGGGCGCCGTGGCTCTTCCATGAGACACTTGCACCCGGCTGGTCTGAATGGTCGTGGTCAGGGCCAATGCATTGCAGACGCCTGCCGCACCAACACTACTATCAGCACCACGCCAACTGGCTGACCAAAGGTTGCATAATCAAACTGCGGCGACTGCGCCCATCATTTTTGGTCTGCAACTTCTGTCGCATGCGGGCGCCGCTGGTTCTGCGCAGCAGCGGTGGACGACTCACGGGGCTGCTTGTGCTTCCTGGGCTAGAACAGCAGCAGCCTGCACCAACAGCCTGCTTTGGTGCCCGTGTGTGCTGCTTACGACTAAAAGTCAGGCGCTGGTCACTAGTTGCTGTGGTGCCGAGCGTGGTGTGTAACTGGTTTAAGGCGGCAGCTGGGCTGCTGTCAGGGGCGACGAACGAAGAGGTGAGCGCACCCACAGATCTATGCCAACATCTTACCACGGGAACAAGTCACCTGGCTATGGCGCCAGGAGCAAACATCAACAGCAAGCATCGTTGCGTGTACACAGCCTTTGATTGCTGATCGGCAATCATGATGCTGTGAAGGTCACCAACACTCACACTTGTGATCGACCAAGATTAGGCTGCTGCAACTCACAAACATGCATCCTGTGCACGCAAGGGGGGCCCTGCTGATTGCTTCCCTAGCAGACCGCGTAAGCTGTTGGATTGTACGCGCAATCGTCAACGCATTCGTACTTCTTTGTGGTCTTGCCAAGGGTCTTCAGGGCGCATCCCAGACACCTGTGTGATGTAATGTGAGCCCAGGATTAGTCAGCAAAGAAAACCAGGCAAGAATGTGCCACCTCTGCTAATAGAACGGGTCCTGTTGAACAGATTCGTGCTGCTGATCCACGTACATTGCGCATGACTGCTGGACAGAAGCCTTGGGTTTTAATGGGGCTGGCGCCTCACGGACCTGTATCCGCACGCCACCACAGCTTTGTCCGTGAGCTTGGCCATCCTGGAAAAGAGTTTGCCGTACTTGCTGATGGTAGCCTTTGTGTCGGCGCTCAGTTGGGCCTTGTTCTTCAGGAAGTTCAGGGCCTTGCTGAGGGCTTCCTCAGCATGAGGAAGGTCGTCGTACCTGCGCACATCACCCGCACCGCTGTATCAGCTATCAAGAGGGAAAAGCGCTGCTTAACCCTAGAACGAGCACAACGGTGTCCGCGTCACGCAATTGCGCACTCACCTGACGCTGATGGCCTCTGCGAGTGGGTTGGCTTCGTCACCCAGGCACGTTGAAAATGCCTCGCTGGGCTCCTGGCTGGAAGAAGGCCTGCCGGGCTTGCAGTTCAGGCCTTCAGGGCATGGAAAGCTCCCGCAGTTGACGCAGTTATCAGTGCCCACCATGCGGACACCCTGGCCACCGGACACCGGCATATTGCAAGGCGAGTTGCACGGGCACAGAACATATCCAGTGCCGTCCGCTGTGTATGCTTGGGGTATATCTGTAGGGTCAGTGAACGCACATGGGTGATGCGCCGGCGTGTGAGTCGATTGCCAGAAACTATAACATACACGCACAAAGTGACGCTGTGAGCAAGCTGGTGTCACTGCGCGGTGACAGTTCGGCCGGCCCGCTGCCCGTGACAGTTCGCTCTGGTCGGCCGGGGGAGGCGGCAGGGGTGGCGCTGCGTTGACGGCAGCGTGTTTTGTGGTGTGCAATAGCATGGACGTGGGTGTTACATGCTGTTCGAGCGAGGTGGTGGTGGTGGTTGGGGTGGTGGCAGTTGTCGCAGGCAGTTGGCGAGGTGCTGCTGGTACTCCTGAGGGCTGCAGGACGGCTGCATGGTCCCGGGGTATTTGCCGGAGGGCCTGAGTTGCTTAGGTTCTCTTCGTTGCTGCTGCAGTTGTAATGGCCCCCCTGTTGCTGCCTGTTACCAGCCACAACTCCCAGAGTGACTCATATAGATCTTTGATGTGATTGAATCATGATTACCAGCTCAGTACTTACTGCCGGCGACGGGCGCTTGAGCGCACCTGTGGTCATGCTGCCAACAGTCTTTGGGCCTGCACGGGGATGCATCACGCCAGCAGCAGCGAAGTCAATTCAAAGGTGATGGTTGCCATCAGCTGGTGTGCTTGTCAGGCCCATTGATCACCACAATGCTCGAGCGTGCACCAGTCTGCAGCATCACATGCCGAAGGCAAGCCGCACACCTTCCTCAGCCTGTGGCGGTGTTGTCTTGACGCCGACCACCAGGCCTTGCTTGGTCCAGGTGCTGCCGCCCGCGCTGAGCGCGCGTGGCTGCACAGAGCCCTGCAAGCCCAGCAGCAGGCAGGTTGACAGTAGAAAGGTAGGGCAGCAGATGATTGCTGACCTTTGTAGCTGGACTGCTGGCCAGTGCTTCAGCTGCGCTGCAACACTACCTCATATGGCTGAGGCCCCAGCTGTGGCTTGTGTTTATTGCCCAGCCCACCTGCTTGAGCCAGCAGTAATTGTACCATGGGGATGACCCGGGGATGTTGTAGGACCACACGTGGCCGGTGCACCTCGTGCCCCATGAGGAGCACTTGGAAGCGCACAGGTCCTCCGTGCCGATGTTAGTGTAGGTGCCTCCTGGAATGTCGTTGCCGTATGAGTCATACTCTACGTACCGTTTGTACGCGGGCGGACCCTGCGCGGCAACGCTAGCCGCTGCGCACACCACGCACAGGATCACTAGCGCATGTGAATGGGCATCCATGAAGGCCTGGAAAATTGGATATGTTTGGGATGAAGAGTTTCAGGAAGTGCGTCAGATGAACAAGAATGCGCAACGGGCCCACCGGCCAACCGGGGGAGGCGCCCGCGATCGGTGCACCATGCAGCAGCACCCCTTGGAATCGAAATGTGTGACCTGGGCGTTTCCAAGCCGTTATATTCAAGGATGTATCCGGGAAAATCGCATACGTTGTATTCTCACCTCGCGTTCTCCTTTCGGAGTCCCAGATTGCGTTCCGGAATCAGCTCTTCGACACGTCGAGTACCGTTACCATACGAACACGAGTATGCAAGGATCGCCGACATGTGATCAATAAGACGGGAGCAAGTATGGGCTGCATACATTCTGGGGAGCTTCATTCAAGGGACGCACGGAGGGCGACGGCAGCAACGCAGTGGAAGCCCGGGCCACAACCAATTGCACATCACCTGAAGGTACCAGCAAGCAGTCCTACCCTGCGACAAGGTGATACGGTTATACACGTTGGAGGCCCCTAGCTTCACCCTGCAAGACCTCGGCGTCCCCAATCAACATTCCATGACCCTGCCCCACCACTTGCCCGCACTCACCGGCTGCAAAGGGGCTGCACATCCCCTCGTACGCCTGCCCGCGGCCTGCGCGGGAGCGCTCTCAAGGCCCCTGCACCCCCTGCGGCTCACCTTTGACCTTTGAATCCCGTTGCGTGCCCGCCCGCACCACAAACTCAAAAGTCCCATGCCCCAAAAAGAGATGCTTGACGTTACAGCTTACTGGGTGGTGTGACGGCCACCAGGGAGGTTGGGGCAGAACGGAAAGCCAGAGCATGCCAGGCAAAGACACGTCCCCGAGGAAATGGAGGAGTGGGGGAGAGTCGCCGGCAATGAAGTCCCAGAGGATGACAGACTCACTGCAAGTCTCTCAGAACAGGCACGGCCACTCTCAGCGCAACGGGAGCCGTTGCGATTCCCCTGCTAATTGTCAGAGTGCGTCACAGGCAGCCCCGCAGCGGGTGTCGCATGCACGTCGTCGCAGGGGCGACAACTTGCATGGCGCTCGACTAGGCCGCCTCTCCCGCCCACTCCCCAGGGCCTGCTGCCTCGACCTCCGCCGAGCCAGGGACCTTGTCCGCCGCCCCCTCCTCTTCGCCCTCCTCCTCGTCCTCCTCCCACTCCCCGTCATCGTCCACCTCCTCCCAGTCAGAGCTGCCCTCCCCCTCCCCCTGCTCTGCGCCCGCCGCCGCAAGCAGCGCCTCGAGCGCCGCCGCGCTCGCGCCGCCAGCCGCCCCGCCCGCGACGCCGCCCTGAGCGCCGGCCGCGGCGGCGGCGAGCGCGGCCACCCCGAGGCCCCGCCAGAAATGCTGGTGCACCGTCAGCATTCTGGCCAGGGTGTGCCACCCCACAGGGCTCGGCACACTGCGGGCGATGTGCACCGTCAGGGGTAAACAACAGGTTCAGGAACGCAGTGTCCAGGACGAAGGGCGGAGAGCATGGGTGGCAGGCGCAGCGGGACCCGGGGCCGCGAGTGCCGCAAGCTGCGGAGCGCACGGCGCCATGGCGCCATCAGCGGGCCCGAGGCCATCGCCCGCTGCCTCCACGCACCCCCAACCCCCTGCCCCCCCCTCCAAGCGGCTGGCTGGGCGCCGCACCTGGCGCCGGGCGGCAGCGGGGGCGGCCTCTCCCCCAGCAGCGCCCTGGTGCAGAGCTCAACACACAGCGCAGTCTGCTTCAGCACATAACCACCCTGGATAGGACGGGCCGGGTGGATTGAGGCGTTTCAGGCGCGTCCCTGGTGGCCTCCACAGCGCGGGCTGCTGGGGCCGGGTGCAACCACGCCCGCCGGCGCAGCGCTGCACCACAACGCCAGGACAGCGGCGGTTGAAGGCCAATCACAGAGCGGGGGGCGCCAAGTGCAGGCGTGACATGAGGCGACTCCTTGCCTTGTGCACCGCACCTCGAGCACCATGCCGACTGGTGCGCCCAGGGCGCGCAGCATGGCGGTCATGTGGGCAAACACCGGCGGGGGGATGCTGCCCAAGCCTGCAAGGGATGCGGTGGAATGTTGGGCGGTAGACTGTTGGTTGCGCCGTGCCGAGGGGCAAGAGGGTTTAAACACGCACGGGTGGCCAAAGCGCAAAGCCCAACACTGAGAGCAGCGTGCCAGTCGCAGCCCGCAGCAGCAACCAAAGCGGGCGTCGGTGTGGCCCCCGGGCCGTGGCGGGGCAGCTGCTCACCCACGGGGTCCCCCTCTGCCGAGTCAAACCCGGCCGACACCAGGATGATGTCGGGGCCCCACTCCCGCGCCAGCGGCACCACCAGCGCCCCCACCGCCGCCAGGAAGTCGCCCCCGGCCGGCTGCACGTCGTCCAGCGCGAGGCCCTCCCCGCGGCGCGCGGCGCCGGGCGTGGGCGGCCGCGGGGGCGCGGCCCAGGCGACGTTGATGGTGGTGCCAGAGGCGGCGCCGCGGCCGACCTGGTTGAGGGGGCAGCCGCCAGGGTAGAACCAGCTGCGGGGGAGGAGGGGCCGCAGGGGGTTGGGGGTTGAGGGTTCAACAGGAAGGGGCCGAGGGCAGGCGAGAGGGCGGGCCGAAGCTGGGGGGATGGGGGGTACATCAACCCTTGCTGCTGCCAACCTCCTGGCCGCATCGCCGAAACGCACGCGTGCGCCACAACCATCAAGAGTCTCACGCACACAGTTGCGTGCGCTCAGACTCACATGCTTGCACACAACGGACGACCCCCATGCGCCTCTCACCCTCCCTGCCCCCCCTCATACCACCCTCCCCGTCATCCCCACCTGCCGGCCTTGTGCAGGGACACCACCACAACGCTGGGGTCGTCCTCGAATATGGAGGCAGTGCCCTTGGCGGCGTGTGCGTCCCAGTCCAGCACCAGGACGCGCTCCGCCCCCGCGCGCTGCGCCGCGCGCGCCGCGACCGCCACGCTGTTGTACAGGTTGCCGCCCTCGGCGCTGCCCTCACTCGACAGGTGGCCTTTGGGGGCGAAAGGGGTGAGGGGTGACGGAGGGGAGGGAGGGGTGCGCCATTGGGCCAGCGTGGCGGACGGTGTGTTTCACGGGTGCTCGTGGACAAGGGACAAATGAACAAAGGAGCCGACCCTCAAAGTTCCAGCGCAGCTCATAACACACTCCGTAGAGCCACCAGCACCGGCTAGGCCCAGGCCGCTGCGGCCGTGCACCCTGTGCGCGGCCCCTCTGCGTGCGCCCCCTCCGCAGCCCACCTGCCGGCCTGACGAGGGCAAACCCGGCGTCCGCCTCGCCCCGCACCAGCCGCTCCGCCATCCCCGCCGCCGCGCCCGCCGCGAGCCGTGCAGCACGCGCGGTGTGACGGTTGCCGAGGCTCTCGGAGCCGAGGGCGGCGCTCACGGCTGCGAGGGCCAGCTGCTCCGGGAAGAGCGTCTCGGGGCACAACGCGTCGACCGCAGACACCAGCCCCGCAGAGTGCACCGCCAGCAGCTGCTCGTCGGTCGCCTCCTCGACCGGCAGCCGCTCGCAAACGTCTTGACGGCGGCGTGAGAGATTCAGGCGGCCGGGGGCGGGGTGTTTGAATAGTGAGACACAAACATGGTGCGGGACGGGGTGGTGTGTGCAGGGCTAGACAGGTTTGTGCAGTGGAGGGGCAACCCGAGGGCTCGTTGGCGCCAGGCGCGTCGCCACGCCGCCCTGGCAGATGAGTCAGCATGCGTCCAGGCCCCTGAGCGCAAGGGCGCGGCCGGCACCCACCCAGCAGGCCCGTTGACTGGAGGCGCGACAGCACCGCGTGCAGGCGCTCCGGGCGCTCGGGGTAGGGCGGCAGCATGGCGCGGTGCAGCAGAGAGTCTTCGTGCCAAGCCAGCAGCACGCGCGCCGGCGGGCTGCACGGCACCCCCGCCGCCCGCGCGAGCCCCGCGGCTTGCCGCAGCGCCTCGGCCGCCTCGGCGCGGGCGGCGCCTGCCGCAGCCGCGGCTTCGGCGCTGCCCCAGCCCCCGGGGGGCCGCGGGGGCAGCAGCTGCGCGTCGTCTGCCGCCCTGTGCCCGCAGATGCCGCACTCTGAGTCCGCGCCGCTGGGCAGGCGCTCCAGCGGCGCGCAGCAGTTGGTGCAGAACGCCGGGGGCCGGGCGCGCATGCGGGCGCGGCCCTCGCCGACGACCACGGCCGCCACCACCTCGGGCGATGCCGGTCGCGCGACTGGGGGCGCCGCTGCTCCCTCCGCGCCCGCCACTGCGGCGCCGGCCTGCGTGCCCAGCACACCCGCCGCCGCCGCGCCCGACTCGGCCCCGCTGCCGCTGCCGCCGCCGTCGCGCTCGCCGCCGCCGCCGCCCCCGCGGGCGCTGCTGCTGCTGCTGCTGCTGCCGAGCGCGAGCACGTCCATGAGCCGCAGCATGAGGCCGGGGTCACCTGCCACGTCGAGGGCGCCCTCCACCGGGCCCTTCCACCGCGCCGCCTCCTCCAGCGCCGCCGCGGCCGCGTCCGAGTCCGCGTCTGACTCGGCGTCGGAGCCGTCCGATGCGGATGCCTCTGAAGCCTCACGCACCGCCGCAGCCTCCCGCGGGTCCTCGCCAGCCGGGCCGCCCTCGTCGCCCTCGACGCCGCCCTCGCGACCAGATGGATGCCGCTGCTGCGGCTGCTGCTGTTCGTCGGCGGCGGCTGTGCCGCCGCCGCCGCCGCCGCTGCTGCTGCTGCTACTGCTGCTGGTTCTGCTGCTACCATCGGCGCCGGTGGGTGCAAGAGACTCGCTGGCACCGCTGTCGCTGTCAGCAGCGCCGCTGCTGCCGCTGCTACTCAGAACGCCCTCGCGTGTTGCAAGCCACGTCAAGCTGCCTCGCCTGCCTGGCGCGCCAGACCAGGTGGCGGCAAGGGGCTTGCCCGACGCCGCACTGCTGCCACCGCCACTGCTGGTGCTAGTGCCAGGGGTCGCAGCCTCAGGGCTGTACCCGTTGCCACCAAAAGTGCCACCGCCACCGCTGACGTCGGCCCCGGGCACTTCGGCCCTGCTGATGACATCCTGTTCAAGTCCATCAGCCACTGGTGTCTGAGCGAGCACGCTGTCGCTGCTGCCGACGCCGTCGGTGGTGCCGCCCTCTTTGATTGCGCTCGAATGCGGGTCAACTTCAGCCTCGACAGCTGCAGCAGCCCCTAATACACCATCAGCATGCTCTAGCGCGTGCACGCGTAGTGACCGCGGAGGATGCAGCAAAGCCTGCGCCTTCCAGGGCGTGCGCAGCGGCCCAGGCAGAGGCGGCGGCACCCCGGCCAACCGAACCCCCATCCGACTGCAGCGAAGGGTGCGCCCCGCGCCCATCGAAGGGCACGTGGCGCGCCTCATTGTATATTGCTGCAGGCACGCAAAGGGTTGCGGCTGAGTGATCAGGAACGATGCTTGCAGATCGCCAGAGCCAGGCGCGCTGGCGAGTTGTTTTGCACATTTGATATGAAGATGGCGCTTTCAAAAGCAACATACAAAGGGTGTTTCTGCCGCGGAGGAGGCGGGAAGCATTGCAATCGTCGCTGTCACTGATGGCATAACACAGAACCGGTGCGAACGTCGTATGTTGGTACAAAATGTTATTGGCCTCGCAAGTATCGCCCAGACAGCTTACCCGCGGGGGTGATACGAGCTTGGCCGCCGGCACCGGAATGGGACCAGCGTCATCACCCGGCACAACCCGTCATCCCGACTTTGTGGTTGAAGGTACTGTGAGCAGTGATGCTGACAGCTGAGCATAACGCGTCATTAAGGTTCAGTTGCTGCACTCACAGGCATGACCATTGGCAGGCACCGCTACACTGTACGTGCGGCCAGCATCATAGGAGGATGGATGAGTAAGTGTCCTCTGTCCCATAAACGCATTGAGAGTTGTTCAATGTCTACTGCGTAAGCATGATGATGCTTTCATCGGGTAGGTAGCGACGCCCAGCCCGGAGCTGGTCTGCAACATAGACCCTGCGTCGTTGAGACCGGCTGTGCAGGCCACCCCGAGAGCAAGGAATGCTGACAAGTGACAGTGCGGAGTCAGCTGCGTCGACCCAGCGGGCAGAGGTAGGGGCTGCACGGGGAGGAGAGAAAAGGGAGTTGGGCGAGGGTGTGGGTGCGGTGATGCCGGTGGGGTGGGTCTGCGCAACGCGGACCTGGTGCAGGGGTGTGCAACCTGCTCGGTGTCCCATCCTTGGGTCTCGCTGACGAGGGGTTGGTACAAGAAGACTGCGCCTTCCTGAAAGGCCCATTGCACTGTGTGTATGCAGAGGTAGTGACTTGGACTGAAGGGACGGTGGGTCGCCTCTCACTCGAGCAAGTCTTATTTGCGGTGATGGGAGCACGACCAGAGTTGCTGCTCTCGCGTTTTGGTATCCTGACATGCATATGACATGCACCCGTACGTATGCATGCATCCCTGTATATCTCATTCAATAATTCTAAATGCAAGGAAACAGCTGGGAGGGACATGCAACGAGGCAAAGCAAGGGCCACAATCATGCTCACCAGCACGAGCAGGAGCGCGGGTGCTTGTCACAGATGGGTTTCTGCACAAACTCTGTATGAATTGGTCATTGTGTGTGATACCTACAATCAAATCTATCATACGTTATGCCAAGTGCCGTTCAAGCACCGCCAATGGTGCTTGACATTGTGGCACCAGCATGGAGCGAGCGCGACGCGTGTGCGTCATGCATGTGTGGATCTTGGGGTGGCAGGACCGTGGGTGGAACAACTTTGCCTGCTGATGCAAAGTACGGCGCACCGATAAATGCATGCTTCATGCCTCATTGGCCCACGTACCGTACCAGTTCCGGGCAATGTGAATTGATCTCATCCTGCCAAATCCACGTGATTTGTACTGCAAGCTGTTTAGGAGTGATGACATAAATCCGACCAGCTTGTTTGTAGAGTCGGGTTACTTGTTTGCTGGGTTCGGTCTCAAACTACCGCCACGATACGCAGCAGTGGCATGGCCTCTTCCGAACTACCACTGGTTCACGAGGAGCCCAAGGCGCCGCTCAAGCAGCGAGCTTGGCAGCGATGCGACACGGCGATGGAGGAGCGGCTGGGCTGGCGGCCGCGGTCAAGGGCGCTGTTCTGGCATTATGTGACAACTTTGTGGGAGCAGGTGGCCGCAATCGTGCCAATCAGTCTACTGCAGGTGGGTGCATATGCAATGAACTTGCTGTGAGCCCCTTTCCCAAACGTGGCGTGGCGTGGGAAAGCGGGCAGATGAGGATACTGATGTCGGTTAGCTGCAAAAAAGGAGAACGCAGCATCACAACCATGCCTCCGTACAATGCCAGTGAGTTACATCGCTGTGGGTAACATGGTAACACATGCACATGGCGGCCATGGTGCCACTTGGCAGCTTGAGGCAACGGGCTGCGCGATATGCACATGGGGGCGCGGGCACCGCTACGCCTGCCACCTCTCATGGACACTGGGCCGTGCCATGCCCATACACGCCCCCTCCTAGGTTGTGGTGCTGGCTGCCTTCTTCCAGCAGTCGGCCAGCAGCCCAGGCCTGCAGGTGGGGACTGCAGCGCAATTGGGGAGATAAACCGCGGCAGTGGGCTGCACTTGGCGGCATCACAAGCACCAGCCTGACCCTTCAAAAGGATGCGGATGCGGGCTGAAAACAGGGTTATTGCCCCCTGTCATTGCACCGTGGCAACCGCACGATCTGCAGGCTGCGGGTCTCATATCCGCCTGCGTGGGGCTGCTGATGTTTCTTGACGGACTGCGGGTGTGCATCATGCCGCTGGCTGAGGAGGTCGGGAGGAAGCTGCCGCAGCGGCTGCCGCTGCCGCTGGTCATGGTGGTGGCCTTCTGCCTGGTGCGAGAGGGGGCGAGCGGTGTGTGTGGACAGCGGGTGTGCCCCGGTGGCTCCCTCGATTGATGCGTTGCAACTTTGCTCGGCCGCTTGGAGGCAGCACAGCCGCAGCGCCCCAACTCACTTCACACCGGCTTGCTGCTTGCGCTCCCTAAGCAGCTTCCCTGGTTCATTGCACCCATTCCGTTAAAACCGACCTTCAGTTAATTCACACCACAAGCTCACCGCCTCTCGACTCACCAGGGCGTGTTGGTGACATATGCCGAGCCAGCCATCGCTGCTATTCGCCCGCTCTCGCGGCTGGTGGACCCTACCAGGTGAGCAGCGTGAGGGTGACACGAAAGGAGGATCAGTAAGATACCCGCAACAATGGGCAGAAAATGCTGAAGGTGCCACATGGATGCCACACAGGTCACAAGGTGACTTTGGCTGCTGCCTGACGGTCCCGAGCCTGCACGCAGGATCTCTCCCCCCGCCCTCCTCACACTGCGTCCCCGGTCACACCACCTCCACTGCTCATCCCGCCACCCCCACTCCCAGGGCGCCGTACCTGTTTGTGGTCATGAACCAGCGTGTGGAGGCTATGGTGTTCTCAGTGGGCGCAGGCGTGGGCCTGGCCGCCGTGCTGGGCACGCTGCGCTTTGTCAAGAACTGGCCGCTGAAGCCCATCGTCTTCGCCTCGCTGCTGCCAACAGTGGCGGCCAGCTGCTACTGCCAGTGGGGCAACCCGCACCTGAAGCCGCTGCTGGGGGTGGCCTGGGACCTCGGGGGAGGTGCGGCCCTGCGCTGCGCCGCTGTGCGCTGCGCCACGGCGTCCACCTCTTTTGTTGCGCAGCGGCAGAAACGGCTTGTGGCCCTTTTTTTTGCCGTGGCGCTCCATTTTGCTGCTCCAGACTCAAACTGCGCTGCTTTGCTTGATGGCTCCTTGCTGTCTCTTGCGCTCCCACCGGCCAGTGACCACGGGGCCCGTCACTGTGCCCATCCTGCTGGCCCTGGGCATCGGCGTCATGCGCACCAGCAGGCAGCAGCGGCTCGCAGCCGCGGCCCTGCATAACAGCGTCGCATCCAACACGGGTGAGGCCATCCCTCGTCATCACCTGGCTGGTCGCGGTCACATGCTGCACGTGAACTGGCTGCTTTGCTGTAGCTCCCACACACAGCATTCAGAGTGCTTTTCGCGCGTACCTTCAGATGCTCTGTGCTCAGCTTTGTCCCTTGCGCACCAGCATTTCCACACCACAACCCACACCCACCCCACTCCTGGACTCCACTGCTGCCGACTTTGGGGGTCTGCAGGTCAGGCGCTGGAAGGTGAGCAGGCATCTTGTGTTGTGCGTGCTGCTCCCCACATGTGCGGCTTTCTTTGGCCTGGAGCGCCTGCAGATGCACAGCAGGCAGTCAGCTGATGCTTGCCTGTGGTCACTCTGCCAGCTGTCAGGAAAAAGAAGCAGCCAGCTTGGGTTACTCATCAGGCAACTGGGAGTGAGTAAATGCTGCGCGCGCCATGCCTCCCCTCCACTCTTGCTTGCCCACACTACAGGTTTTGGGATTGTGACCTTGGCTAGCCTCCTGCCTGTGCTGGCTGTGCTGCTGATGGGCATAGCCTTGTCTCTGGAGAAGGGCTACAATGAGGTGTGAGGGGTCCCGAGTGTGCGGAGGGGGAGGAGGTGGCAGGGAGGCAGAGGAACGACGCGGTGGTGAGTGTGCACCCGTAGGACCTCACACACATGTGCGTTTGCAGGCTTGTTGCATGCGATGGACACGCCTGATGCACACCATTTTTCGCAACCCAGCGCTCTCCCGCGTTCCAATAGCCCTCGCGACCCTTCACCTCCTGTGCAGGTTTTGGCAATGGCGCTGGAGGCGGCTGCAACCCCGGTCTCAGAGTCGCCGGCGGACACGTGTGTCTCCTCTCCTCCCGTGCACCACCATTGCATCTTGATACCACCCAAAGCCCTGCCTGATGCTGCAGCCATGCCATGCCGTCATGCTGCATGCTGCTCAGCACCACCACGAGACCCTCACCAGCCTCACCACGGCCTGCTCTGCTGAACAAACAAGCCAGCCGCCGGTCCCTGCCCCTCTGGCCCCTTGCTGCATACAGGTCGCCGGTCCGCGAGGTCATATTCGCTGTGCGCTCTATATCACCCCTCATTGTAGCCCTCCTGCTGCTCGTGAAGCTCGTGCTGAGGGCGCCGCTCCCACGCGTGTCATTCTGGCTGGACGGCGCAGGCGGCACGGAAGCCGCCAGTGTGCCACCGGCCACTCCAAAGCCACCAGCCAAAGCGGCGGCGGCGCGCCCGGGCGACGTTGGCATTGCCCTGGGACGTGGCACGCCATCAGACGGGGGAGTCGCGCCTGCCGACGATCGCGCCTCGAGCCACGACGCTGAGGTCACCCTCACGACATCCAACAACCCCAACTGCGCAGCCGTCCATGCGTCCGCTGCTTCTGTCAACGGCCAGCTGGGGCGGGGATGCATTGAGGGAACACCAGCCGGTGCCGGGGGCCCCGTGCCGCCTGGCAAGCAAGCAGCGGCGCAGCAGGGGCGGGGACCAGACGGCAGGCAGGCAGCGGGGCGGCAAGGGGCCGGAGGGGCTGGTGGCTGCTGCAGCGGCGGGCGATGGCGGGCGTGGCTGGATGACTTTGGGCCGCTGGTCTTGGGTGTTGCCATGTGCCAGGTTTGTTGGGGTGCGGGGGGCACTGACGTCCGGTGTAACGGAAGTGTACATCAACCCCACAACTGTCCAACGTCCTTACACCTCGTGCAGGGCCCTGGGCCTGGCGTTGCTGCTGTGGGGCCGTGGCCATACCCTGCCCTTTTGTCACCAAGACCGTCTTGTCGGCGCTTTCAATCAATACCCATCATTGCTCTGCCCCCTCTCCCTGACTCATCACACATTCTTCGCCCTCACCTAGGTTGGCATGATCCTGTTCAACATCGGACTCACGTACGGCTTCACTGCCCTGGGGGACCAAACAGGCACGACACTGCCGGCGGCGTACATGGCGGTGCCCTACGATCCCAGGTGGGCCCGGCTGGCCGGCTGGGGAGCAGCGCCGGCCGGTAGTTAGCCCGTGGCGGTACGGTATTTTGGGGTGGGGGGCCTGCAAACACGTGCACACCCGCACGCCTACATGCGGGGCTGGAAGCGCATGGGGCAGCTGTGTCCGCAAACAGCTTTCCGGGCCCTGTATCCCTGCTCGAGCCAAGGGGTTTGATTATGCCGGGCTGGGCTGCCCTACCAGCAGGTGGCCGCAGCCCCGAGGGCAGCCACCCCTCCCATATCTGGCGGCATTATCTTTCTATCTCATCATCATCCTCGTCCACCCAGACCATCTACCCTGCGCCCACCCCTCCACTCCACCTGTCCACGCATCCCACCCCTCAAAGGTCCCCCTACTACAGCTTTGCGGGCGGTGTCGCAATCCTGATGGTCACCGTCATGCTGCTGGGAGTGCTTGCTACAAACGGTGCGCCCCGCCGCGTGTACTCACGCCGCCATATGGAGAGCCCGGCAGGTCCTGGTGGTGTAGCTGTACCGTGTGCTGGTTGCAGCCGCCTGCCTGCCTGCCAGCGGGGCGCCTGGTGCGGCAGCGTCTGTGCCCATGGATGCTTCAACGCCCCCTGCACTACACATAATACGGGTCCCTTCATCACATGGAACTGCACTGCTCTGTGCAGCTGAGCCCGCCCTCAACGTGCTGGGAGCCACCGTGCAGCGGCTGAGCAACGGCCGCTTCACCAAGCGCATGCTCATCGGCGCGGTGTGCGTTGGCGTCGGAGTCGGGATGTGCGTTGGTGAGCGCTCCCCACTGCGCTGCTACGCGGATCGGTCGGTGCATGCAAACCTGTGCTGGGGGACGCCATGCGACAGCACAAACCAGGTCGTGCGGACACCCTCGCGCCCACCACACTTGAAACCGCACCTCGCAGCCCTTGTCACCGCCACCCCCCCCCCCTTTCCGTCCCCAGGGGCTGCCAAGATCCTGTGGCAGCTGCCCCTCCTGTACTTCATCCTGGCCAAGGTGGGGGGGCCTAGCGGGTTTCAGGAGGGGCAGAGGTGGAGGGGTCCAAAGAGCGGACGGGTGATGAGGGGGAGTGGGTTGGGGGAGGGGGGCCGCGCATGTTGGCGCTGGTGTTGTTTGGCGCAAATGAGGGCGTGGCACGGCTGTATACATGTTGCTCCACTACCGTATACGCAACGCCAGGGTTCAGCACCCTGCGGGGCGCTGCCGGCCTAAATCCAACTCTCAGCCAAGCCACGCCTTCACACGTGGCCCCACCCTCCAACCATACACCCCAGTACGCTGTCGCCAGTGCACTGACGATTCTGGCCGAAGACTCTGTCACTGCGGTCGCTTGGGACTCAGCCGGCGTTACCACAGGTGCGTCGTCCCATCGGCTTTCAGCGTTGAGGGCGACGCGCCACTGGCTGCCGGCAACGCCGGGCCTCCGGAAGGCTGGCGCAACGTGTCTTGCTGCGTCAACTCTTGCCGCACCTGTCGGCCACGCCCGCCGGTTGCTGCTTTCCGCGCGAGCCCTTGCCTCCGTCCTTACCTGACCTCCATTCTCCCGCGACCTTCAACACGGCCCAGGCCCCGTCACCGTGCCGTTCGTGCTGTCCATTGGCATCGGGTTCTCCAAGGCCGTCAACGCCAGCGAAGGTGAGGGGGCCGGGCGCACGCCGTGTGGAAGGCGATGCGGGCGGCAGGGGGGGGGTGCGATTTGTGTCTGGCGCGGCCCGTGGCCTTCGGCGGCGCGGCAGCAGGAGAGGTCTGTGTTGACTGCTTGTCACTTGGTGCAATAAGGAGCCTTGGCTCGTCCCGCTGACGCGGCCCCTCTTACCTTACGTTGCCGGTGCATGCCGCCATGCGCCCTCGCCTCTCAGGCTTCGGGATGCTCACCATCATGAGGTGTGAGGGGCGCGCCTTGGGCTGCAATGGATGGGGCCGGCTGGCACGGCGGAGAGGGCATCGCAGGCAGCGCAAAACATTCTGCAAGCTTTATGCTTTGGCTGACATAACCTGCGCGCCAGTGCCTGGAGTGTGCAAGACGCCAACGGACTGCGTGCCAGCGAGCCCCCGCGAGGCCTCTCTCCCTCATGCCTGCCATCCCACCACCCTGCTTTAAGGCCCCGCCCTGATTGCCCCGCCC